GCCGAGCGGCGCCATGGCCGACGACGGCAAGCGATGAGGCCGCCGATGATGGGTGCGTTGGTACGCCAACTGCAGTTCGGCGGTGCTGCAACCGTGGCCGGGGAAAGCTGGAACCGTGGTCTGGCGAGCTGCGAGGCGCCTACGTGTTGGTGAGGGGGATGCTACAACTGCGGCGAAAAAAGCTGGAAGCGCTGTCCGGCGATGCTGGAACCATGGCCTGGTGGAGCTGCGAGGCGATGCCCCTGTTGGCTGAATGCTGCAACCGTGCTTTGGCAGAGCTGGAACCATAGTCCGGCGGAGCTATGAGGCGACGCCCCGTCGGCTGAATGCTACCACCCGTGGAAAAAACAATGGCGTGGGTCTTTTGCTGTTTTTTGTGTGTTTTTTGCTGGAAACAGTATTGATTTTGCTGGAATCAGCCGGCCGTTTTGCTTCAACCGGCAAGATGGCGCTGGGCGGTGATCACGCGAATTTTTGGCAATCTTTGTGTTTTGCTGGAAATAGCATTTGATTTTGCTGGAACCGGCCAGGCGATTTGCTTCAACCGGCGAGATAGTGTTGGGCGAAGATTTTTGCTGGAACCGTGATTTTTGCTGCAATCTTTGTGTTTTTTGCTGGAAATAGCTTTCGTTTTTGCTGGAACCGGCCAAAGCAGAGATCCTGCTGCAACCGTTCAGCAGGGCGAGCGGCCACAGCGAGCTGCGCGTGTGAGCCGGCGAGTGGCCACGGCGTGCTATGCCTGCAAGCTGGCGGCGATGGTGAGCCGGCGAGCGGCGCATGGGGGTTGGGCGACGAGCAAAGCACGCGGGGGTGCGCTGGATCTGATGCGGAAAAGGAAGGGAAGCGCGTGGGAGATAGTTCGCTGAATCGGGCGGTCTGGGACGCTCTAATCGTGTGGCTGCGCGGCGACCGGCCGAAATTTGGGCCGGTCGACCGGCGCCTATCAGCCGCCTTTATTATTTGTTACATAGGATACCCTTACATATTTGCATGGTAAGGTGAATCTTCCTTATTGGCCGGGGAGGTTGGCTTGTAGCCGTGCAGCTGTGGTGATTGGGTGGTGATCCAGGGATCCAGCGTCCAGATCTGGCTAGAACCCACAACCACAGGCCCTGCAATTACATTTTCACCTACCTAGCTACGTTCGCACTCCGAAAACATAGTTTGAAAATAGTCTATTATATTGGTTCCTAGAAAGTAGTAATAACAGTGGGTTTAATTAAACTACTAATGAGATTGTAAAAAACTGTACTTCATCAATGCCGCTTAAGTAATAAAGACTTTCACAGAGATTTCAGAGTCATCTAGTGGTGCATATAATATTAAATATGTATAAAAACTAGTATAAATTCTTTTCATCCATGCCGCTTAAGTAATAAAAACTAGTATAATCTGCATAACATATTAAATATGTGGCATGCATGAAGATGCTAAAGATAAAGTCTTTTCCCATCCATGGTGCCGGCTTAGTGGGTTGGCATAGTTATATGTTGAGCGAATTAGAGTTAGTGGGGATCAACTATTTAAGTATATAGAATATGTTGCTTGCACCTGCCATGAATAGTAAAATTGAGAAAAGTAGAAAGAAAAAGTCAAAAGTTCTGGAAAAAAAATAGAGTAAACATTGTTGAATGTTTTCTGTAGGTGCAATTTCTTGTGAAGAAAAAACCTTCCCCAAGCTAAAAAAAATCAATGATTTCCAAAATAGTCTTTTTAAAGCATATGATAATAAGTCGTACAGACTTGACTTTTAGGAACTTCTGCATGAATAACGTATTCAAATTACCTTTAACTGATAAGTCAGCCAGTGCATGCGATGAGCGCAAAAGGCAGCAGGTGCATGCGGCAGTAAATATCAACAAGAATTGAGATATTTGCAGCGCGCTCACTCCGCCTTGGTCCTGCGGATTCAGTCGGGAGGACCAATAATCCCGGACGGAGGTAGTAGTACTAATTGACTTCAAGTGCACTGCACTCAGGAGCGTTTATCAAAGCACGTGCAGTCTGGTTTCTCTGCCGATGTATTTCGCATTTCTGATGGATGTGGAGTTTCTACGCCCAGGAGCATTTGCTCCTGGTGTGAACAGTAAAGTCGGAAAAATTCAAAAATAATTCAAAAAATTCTGAATTTTTTTTGTGGCATACTTTCACAAATGTTTGTTGTGCATGCAAAATTTCATCGCAAAATCACATTGGTAGAAGGCATGGTAAAATAAACAAAAATCGATGCTCTGAAAATGTTACTTACAAAAGCATTTTGGAGCTCTTGTTTTGTTTTTTTTTTTTTGGCACGACTTCCACCAATGTGATTTCGTGATGAAATTTGGCATGCACAACAAACATTTGTGAAAGTATCTCACAAAAAAATTCAGATTTTTTTAAATTTTTTTCTATTTTTTTGATTTTATTGTTCACACCAGGAGCATTTGCTCCTGAGTGCAGAAATGTACTTTCGATTTCTGATTGCGAAGTTGAGAACAACTTGAGGCTCGTCAACTGACTGCAGCGGTGGCTGACAGGAGCTGCGAAAACTGATGAAATGGAATGGTAGTTAAATGTCCTACAATTTTATAATTTAGCCCGTGTGGAGGGAATGATGGACATAATTAATTGGTATCAACGACAGAGAGAGACGCTTTGTTACAATTTTATGTTACCCTGGGTTCACTATTGAACTGAACTAATTGTTTTCTCAAAGACCCGGCCCCTTCAAATATTGAAAAATAAAGGTTGATGTTTTTTTTAAGGAGGATTACCCCGGTCTATGTATTAAAATGATGCATGCATCCATCTTTATTAAGTTATTCAACAAAGTCTAATAAAATAATTATAAAAATAAACCCAAAGCCACCACTAAGGCAAACAAATTCACTACCCCTACAAGAATAACGATGTGGCCTGACCGCATCAACGAATACGATCTAATCCAGTGGCCTCAAAAAGGCACCCGCCTGAGAAGCTGAGAGCATCAACCAGTCTAGGCGTCAAACAACGTGCACCGGATGTGCACCCTCTAGGATCCGCCATCGCCATCTTCCACCATCCCATCTTTAGGAGGGATCATTGCATAGACCTTGCCAGACCCATCTCCCGTCGATGTCACCATGACGCCAGACAACAGCACCAGCATGCGCGCGTCCATCAAACCGTGTCCAATGCCAAGACTCCACTGCTCCATGCCGCCGAGACCCATCGTCTTCAATGCGGTAGATGCCACACCGAACCATACATTGGCCCCTCCAGGTAACCTCTGCTTCAAAACAATGCCCTCGGGAGGGAAAACGGCACCGCAATCTCCGTTGTTATCCGATCCGGGAGACCTAGATCTAGGTTTTCCCCCGAAAGAGATGCCCCTGGAGGAAGAAGGGCACGCCATCTGCACATGCCAACGAACTCAAATGGTGCCAACCATCACAAAGCTCTCACGGCGACGCCTTCAGGAAGGACATGATGCCTTGAGCATCATCGCCGCCAACCGCAGTTAGGGTTTTCACTCGAGAAGAAGTGAGGTTGGAAGAGGTAGGGTGGACCCAAATGATGTCTTCAAGAAGAATATCGACATCCACGGGTGTTGTGGCCGTGGCCGACTTGAAACGACCTAGGAATTATCCCGATCTGGATCCCCATATCCCGCTCCTCCCACAAACCGGTGACCGGCTAGCTAGCTAGCACTGCCAAATCCGGTGATATTGGATCGCACCTACACGCGACATTAGGCGGCAGGCAAAACGACATTGTCAACCGCCGAGGCATCGCTGCCATGGCCCGAACCTGACGGTGATCCGCCGGTCGCCAAGCCGACCTACGACAGCCCACCAGCCCCGCTGCACAACCGACGGGGAGGCCTCACCATGGGGTCGCCGCCCCGGATCCATGAATCACAGCCGCTGCACTAGTGCTAATCAGTCGGAAAAGGGCCCCGCTGCCGCCTTCCCGGAGCCATCCGGACTTTGTCGAAGGGCGCCTCAGGCAGCGGTGAGGAGAGGAAGGTGCGGCTAGGGAGGAAGGTGCGCCAGGGGAAGGTAACAACGGAGGAGGG